CATAAGAAGAGAATAGAATGTGTATCAGAATCTTCTGCTGATCAACCTGTTGCCAAGAAGTCAAAAACAGAAGTTACGAGTTCAGTCAGTGGTGGGAATAAGATCATCACAATAGCCTCGGTCTTACTACTTACTGAATAGAGCGCGAAACAGCGCAGAAGAGAGAGAAAGAGCGCAGAAGAGCGCGAAACAGCGCAGAAGAGATGGAAACATCAGACAGCATACAGTAGTAGGGAATGATCACGAGTTTATATCAGTAATCTTCAACATCTTTAAATAACCCAACATGACGTAATATGAGCACACCCAAAGTGACTATAGTGACTTATAGTCACTTTGAGCCCACCAATCAAAAAAATTTTGGAACTCCAGAAGTATGTGCACCAAGATGGCGCACAACCTAAAGACAGTATGGATACCAGGTTAGGGTGCGTCATGAGGTATGTGCACCAAGATGACGCACAACCTGAACACAGTATGTGTACCAGGTTAGGGTGCGTCATGTTTAGTTATTTAAATATGTTGAAGATTACTGATATAAACTCGTGATCATTCCCTACCACTGTATACTGTTTCCCATCAAATTGTTTAAAATTTCACGGACACTAATAAATAATGAAAGAAAAATGTTTCCATCTCTTCTGCGCTGTTTAGCGCTCTATTCAGTAAGTAGTAAGACCCCAATAGCCTCAAAGAGACAATATTCTGCTAAGCCAACAACCAACCTCACTTACTCTATTCAGGTAACAGTTTCTGCACAGCCAAGTGGCGATCCAAGTTTATGCTATCGAAATTATTGGAATTATCAACAGAAACCAGAGGTGCATCAATATAATTATAGCCAGTCGCCTCAATATTCTCAGCAATTGAAATACAACAATAAAAAATAGAAGAACAAACAGTAACCTGAAAAAAAAACTCATCTTGCCTTATAAAGCAGTTTCAAATTGACATTTCATTGATAAGCAAAATATTAAATGATTTGATTTGATTTGAAATTGAAAGCGTGATTTTTTGAGCTGGATTTCAGAATCAAGCGATAACAATATCGAGCCGACTGTTGGGCCTGACCCTACTCCTTGAAACTATGAACGCTGTAATTTTCCCACCAGTCATTGTTCTATTCAGTTTCATTTTCTTTCTTTATATGTGTGCCTGAAAATTAGGCTCCAAAAATATATACCGGTACTTGTTCATATTTAGGCCTTAGTTTTTATCCAAGAATTACCGAAACAAAAAGGTTTATTGCAATTATTATTTTGAATTTCTCAGTTTAAATGAGTCGTTTGATGATAATATCAGATAATATAACGGATGCAATAAATAGGAATCAGCCGATAAGATGATATCTTACGTAACTCAATATTTAGGATTAATTTGTGCTTTTCTCTAAATCATTGTTTTAAAATTTTTTGGTTTGGGGGGATTATTTGGCAATAAATTGAAGTAGGCCAACAGAGGTGAGTGATACTTTACAAAACTCATTGTTTAGGATTAATTTTTGCTTTTCTTCAAACTATATTACGAATTTAGAAAAAGCCTCCAAAATAGTAATGCTGAGGCTTGTCTAACAAATTAATCCACACTCTTTAAAGCACCACTTCTCCTTGTTGCACTCTGCGTCCCTCTATGGATGTGTGTGTGATACTCTGATGAAGGTACTTTGATGAATTGAACTAAAATGTAAAATAAATTCAAATAAATAGATAAAAAAATTATTGTGGTGTACTCATGATGACAATACCTTCTTTAAATGGACCTTGTATTATCCATCTTTTAAGATGACAAATAATTGCACTCTTGCATTTTGATGGCTGTAACCAGTGGTGGGATTCAGCCGGTTCGCACCGGTTCTATGGAATCGTCTCACTGAATTTTATAAAAAAAAGCGAACCGGTTAGCATAACTGGTTTATTTGCTAAAAAATGTGACTTTTTGTTACAGAACCGGCTGACAAAAAATTTTAGTCCCACCACTGGCTGTAATGTCATCAAACTAGTTCTGAATTTGTGACCTCCCTAAATACAATTTTGAATTTTCTCGGGCAACAGTTTTATCTATATATATTAATGATTGTTTATCATTTTGCTGAGAATTACACACACAAAAAAAAAAACTGAAACCAATACTGTAGAATTGACTAAATAAGGTATTGAGAGTCTGTGCAATTTTCAACACTCAATAGTTTTTAAAACCCTAATTTTGGAAACCTCTCAATTTTTTGACCAGTTCATGTAGGCCTTATATAACTTTGGAAATATAGGTATGCAAAATATCAGCAGTATTTTAGATGTAACTGCACACAGGTTATCACAATATCGAAGGTTTTTCATTGCACAGAATTAGGATTGTAGCCTACAATAATATTCGATTCGAGAAAAATATTCGATTCGAATCAAAAACATATGCGATAGTGGACAGCCCTAGACGTGAGTTAACGGCGTGTCACATTGCGACTCAGGTTAAAGTATTGCGTTACACTTCCACAAAAAAATTTCCATAACATTTTATCTGACAAAGGTCAGACTTCCACAGTCAAAAGCAATGATTCCTCTAAATATGCCATTTTTTCTGAGATATTTGGCATTTTATCATGATTCACTTTATAATATATCAGATTCAATTTATAATTTTCTAATACCCATAACATATGCCCACAGTTATATTTAAGTATGTCAGATTAACAATTCTTGTTCCCGGAAATAGGAAGACTGATATTGATGTCGCAGCATAAGTTATGAAATAACATTTATTCAAGCACTAACTGGAGTTAGGTAAATTAAGTCTGACTGCAATGATATTAAATATCAAAATGAAACTACAGACCTACAAGGTTCATCATAAAAGCCCATTTTGTGGCTCACAATAAAATTGATATCGGTTATCGGTCACTAGTTGGCCGATTTATCGATATTGGTGCCAAAAAGTGATATCGGTCGAGCTCTAATTTCCCTGCACATTTGAGTTTTTAAAAAAAGAATCTGCGTCCCAGCGAACGACTAACATACCGGTCCCAGTGCAGGGTAATTAGAGATGGAGCAAGCGCTTAACTCGATGCGCCAACCGTGATGCCACGATAGATATTATTTTGATATTATAGAATTATTTTGAACTCGGTGGCGCCATGTTTCCACCAGTAAAATGCGTACATACAAATTTACCCATGGACATCAAGTCCATGCATCTGAAACGTATATATGACCAACTAAATAAATCCGTAACGGATATTACCTCTCTAACATATCCTATCCATTTGCACCCGTGGACACTTTCAACCATTGGCATTCACACCTTGACATTTGAGCCCATGATGAGCATTTGCACCGACGTACATTTGTTTGTGAGCATCGTCACAATATATGCATAAGTGGATGAGGTATAAATATAAACAACAAAGTGAAAAACACTTACACGCATTAACGGGCCACGCTGCGCTCAAAGCCAGTTTAAAATATCAAATAAGCGATGTATACATTTTTACGTTGAACATGAACAAAACAGTAAAATACCCACGCAATTCAAAACAATCTAATGCATAGTATAGTATAAGTATATTTTGATTTTTCCGCAAAAAAATCATACACAAAAACACAAACAATGAACACACAGAAGATTGAAAAAATCGGAGGAACTGGCAAAACCTTTATAAAGGTTTAATACATGTAAATACACATGCGCCAGTTTACCCACATTCAACACACAAACATATATTCAAAATAAAAAAAGCAAAGACACGAACAGGTATCGTTCGGGCGTCAAACTTGTGTAACATAAACACTCGGTGGGTGCCAATTAATAAATACACTTTAATAGGATGGAATGCATAGCTATGGTATGTGTATCACAACAGTGCTTTGCCTACAAAAGTATGGAATAAAAAACACTCGTTGACGTAAACTGGTGATGCTGTAGTTTAATTTCACTGCAAAATGCAGCGCACAATCGATGATTCATTAGGGTTGCATGCTACTAGTTGCGTCTATGAAATATGAAATATACCGTTTAACGAGCTCCCGACATTCCTGATATTCCTTTTCCCGATATACCAAGTACAAATAGAACGACAACGATCAAATGTATTTCGTAGTGTTCAATTCTATGGCGCGTGCCGTGCTTGTGCTTGTTAGGGCTGGGAATTTCAGGGAAACACTTTAACCGTTAACCGTGTAAAATTAACCGGTTAACCGCAGCGTGGTGTTTTACGCAATAATTTGTAATTTAATTAAGTTTGTTAGGTTACAATGGTTCCAAAGTATTTTCGCGTGATCTTATCGTATTTCGCGTATCGCTCGAAATTGTTTACGAATCGGGGTAGTTCCATGGATCGTTCTGCTACAAGAGTGGTTTGTACATGTGGAAGTATTTTAGTAAAACCCGACCCCGTTATTAAATGTCATTTATGCGACAAATTTTCAGTGCCCGATGTTCAGATTCTACTTTGAGATATCATAAAGTAGAACAGCATCAACTGCACACGTGTTGGATGACATTAAATATACGATTTCTCAATAAAATCGTGAATAATGTATCTCGACTTAAAACTGATTCTGAATTTATCATTGTCAAATTTTCATAATCAGCAATCTTAATACTTCAATTATATTTTTTTTTCTCACAATTATTGGGTCCCTCGGCTCTCTCACTCTCGGTACAGTTAGCGATTAACTTTGAATTAAATGCCACACGAGATAAATGTTAGATGACGTAATCATTTTTGAAGAAGTTGCACATTATAAAGACGATTTGTACCTAAGATGTAAGACGGTTAAAAAAATCGTAACCGTTAACCATCTAAAATCGGTTAACCAATTAACCATTCCCAGCCCTAGTGCTTGTCTGTAGCCTCAGCTTTCTGTCAGTTTTCTAAAGTTCGTGATCTCAGAGCCATCGTCAGTTTAACTCGCATATCCCGCACCTTTTCCTTTACCATAATATAGTGCTGAAGTGCCTATATATTGTAGCCTATGTCTGTAGGTGAAAGTATTATCAAGTTGCTTCATCTCTCAATTTTCATTTTAGATATTGGTATTTTAGAGGGCGTGTGGGTGGTTTATTGAGACAGTTCTGCAGTCCATATGCAGTTAATACACGAACCAAAGTTATGTCGAAATTGAATGAACCTACATATCTGCTGATATGCACATGCTGGTATCGCTGAATACATGAATACGAGAATGGAAATAATGAACAATGAAACTTGAACAACTGGATCTTCCGTTCACATTGAGGTTGTTAGTTTTATTATTTTATTTTTCATAACTTGGAATGGTGTGTGTTTATTGTTATTTATCAAGATATATAAACAGACATACATCTGTACATTCTGTTCTGATAAATCAAGTCCGAGTCAACCATAAAAACATTGCAGTTAAGTATTTAGTAGATGTGTACAATATGAATTATTATAAACCGGTTTATATACAGATGCAGATATTACAGTATTAGTGTATTACGGTACTGTATAATACCATATTTCACGAGGTTGAGACTTTTTCGCCTACATTGCACTGTAGCATAATATTCAGGACCATATTTTCTTGTTCGTGCTTAGTGATGAATCCATATCAGGTCTAAATATTGCTCCCTATGTGGAACAATATTCAAATATTTGAATTTACCTTCTGACTTAATTGTATGTCGTGATATATTGTATCTTAATAATAAAACCCAGGCTGAAATCATGCATTGCATGAGCTGTAAATTATCAGTTGCAAAGGTCAACTTTTTAATAGCTCATATCTGGCTATACCCAATTTAACAAATATTTGAGGAGTATGACCATCTACCTTTTCAGTTTTAGTTTGTGGTTTTTCTGACGATATATTTAATATCAGCTTATGTTGGACTTAGTTTGGCACCTTGAGATTTTGTGCTGTATTAATATTATATAGAATATTAGGCTATTCTGATACTAGGTCCCTTTAATTTCATTATTTGAAATAGCTTATGGTTTATTTCGGGAGGAGAAGTATTTGGTTGGATATATTACTGGCGTTATGGGATAAAATAATTTTATTTGATGGCTTTGACTGTTGTGTGAGGTTTCTATAACTATAACAACTCTTTAGTGAAATTTGTATACCGGGAATGTGCTGCAGATGAATAAAATTATATGAGAGTTTGCCTTACAGAGGCAATATATTAAATTCAGTTTTATGAGTATAATTTGTACAACCCTTTTAAAGTTAAAGTAAAATTTTGAATGTTGTGTAATTATAGGTCTAATCTAATCAGAATTAGTTTTAGTCAGTTTGTCACACTTCGTTCTCAAACTTGTTTGATAGGGATAGGGAATTTTGAATAGACCAAATTAAATTTTTTCATGTCCTGTTCACACAACTGTTTATTCATCTTTTGAAGTTTTCTCGTTACAAATACAACATCCATATTTGTGCTGTTGATTTCACACTTCACAATTTTTCAGGATATTGTCAGTGAATGATCATAAACCTCAAGCATATGCTGCTCTCTCAACATGATGCAATTTCTGAACTTGGACGCACTGAAAAAATTGTTGATTTTGCATGCTGTGTATGTGGCTACATTTTCCTTGGATACTCATGAAAGCTGCTCTCAAAAATGTGCTAAACAAGTTCTTACTCTGAGAGACATAAAATATGAAACCTGCATGAAGACTTGTCTAAATTCTTATGGTTATGATTGGCCCCTGAAAAATGAAGCAAATTGTGAGATGTCTGTAGAAGTGGATTCCTCACCTGCTTGTTCAGCAAGAAATATGCGTGTCTTGTCAAGCCCTGTTAATGTAACTGGGTATACTGCAGGTACAATCGCAAAGCGTGAATTCATTGTTGTTGTCTGGACACCATGTCCATATGGCATTGATGATGTTAATGGCTATGAAGTGAAATTGCTTGAAAAAAACATGTTTGGATATGAATTTTGCAAAAAAGTTGTTTTGAGTAGAAAGCTGAATTCAAGTGAGATTAAAAAAGATATCAGTGTGATGTTTGATGATCAAGAATTAGATTATGGAGCAAATTATGAAATATCTGTTGAAGGTTTGCCAAAAACCGTTCATCGACATCACGCATACATCACTTACACATCTATGACATGTGCTGAGTTGAATGGCATAGGAAGTTGTGAATGTGGTCTGGAAGGATTTGACTTTCCTCCGGGTGTTGATGCTCATGTTGAAGGGTATCATGTCAATGTACTATTGACAGTTCTGAACAAATGTTTCAAGGTATATAAGTACCAGCTTTCCTTGCTATACTCTGGAAATCATACAGAGGCTTTGGCGACATTCGATCTTGTTCCACAACATAATGCTTCCAAGTTGGAGCATACATTTCACTCTGTTTATCCTACTGATACGAGTTCAGGAAGTCTTATGTTTTTGCAATATCATGCCTTTTCAAAAGATGGTAGCAGCAAAGTAAGCTGCCGCACAGAGTTTTCTGTATCTGAATGGATTCCGAAGGTGTTTTATATTTCTGCTGAGAAGAATACTATTAATGTAACATGGAAATGTGCTCCAGAAAATTTTAATATTACAAAATATGAAATTCAATTGAATTGGTATGGATTACACTCTAATTCTCAAATAAAGTACCGAACTATTCATCCTGTAAACAAACATTGCTTCAGTCCCTATTATATATCAAAGGTGTTGTTATCCGTTAGGCCCGGTATATATAGCACTCAAGTGAGAGAATGGAGACCTTCATCCGTATTTTATCTTCCTCCAAAATGGAGCCCCTTGTCACGTACTATTTCTGTTGACTTCAAAGAGGAGAAAAATTTCATGAATGAAAATGATTTAGTAATATCCGCTTCTATTGTGTTTCCCTTAATAATAATAATATTCCTTGTTTTGGGCATTCTTTTCTTAATGAGAAAAGGATACTGCAAAAAAATACACCATAACTTGCCATTTGCTGTCGATCGCTTCTCTGGACCAGAAGAAACATTTCATCATGTTAGCAAGTCTGTATGGTTGGTGTGGCAAGCTGACTATTCTAATTCTGCAATAGGCAATTTACATGCGGAGAATATCAGACATCTAGCAACATTTTTGGCTAATCATTGTGGATTAAATGTGCTACTTGATCAATTTGAGATATCTTCATCTATGGGCTATTCTGCCTGGATACAGGAAAAGTATCAAACAGCAGATATTACTATATTTGTGTGCCCGCATCGTTCTATCTCCGAGCCTGAGCCTCTGCATACCAATAGAATCGGAAACTTTTCAGCCGTTTTTAGGTTTTATGAGGCTTCATTACTAAGAGATGAGAATTTATCTAAATTCGCTACTGTTCTTCTTCCATATTCAAAAACCGACGCTTGTCGTGCATCTAAATTACTGCTTAAGACCACAAGTGTATTTCGACTGATGGATGAAATTGAAAGCTTATACTTTTTTATTCAAGGTTGCGCCAAAGTTACTAGATTGGGTAGATATGTAGTAAAATACATCAATGATATTGACTATACACAGACTTCAGAAGGAGTAGCGTTGAAAAACGGGATTGATAATATTTTAAAACTATTCAACAGTGGTGAGAATGACATATTGCCTGCAACATCTCAAAATATACCTAATGCAAGTATTCCAGAAGATTCCACAACACCTCTTATAAAAGATGTTGAGTCAAATGTTATAGATGTTGTTAGCCCATCTAGTACAAGTGAAAATCAATTTTTGAACAAAACTCGCCGTTTTAAACCTTGCCCTCCACCTCCAGTATTGGATGATGAGGACGCAGACGAATCTGTCTTTTTGATAAATACTAATGAATTATTAAGTCTGCAGCCACTTACTAATGAAGCAATTGAACCGGTCACCTGCGAAACTTACTGCTCATTGTTTGCCCCTTCTCCCCCATTAGCATGAATTATGAATAGTTTGCTTATAGAATTATTTAATTTTGATTACTCCAATTCAATTATGCTGCAAAATAACACATATATATATCCACCATTCATTTTTTTGACACTTGAATTGAATTTGAATTTTTTTGTACTTACTTGAAACACGTTTGGTTTCACAATTGAATACTCTATTACTAATTTCGTGTGAAGACTATTGGTGCTGATATGTTGACATTGCAGATCATGCCCGGGCTCCAATATAGCTATTGTGTTGGGAGGATGAACTAAATTTTACATTTTTGTTGTATTGCTGTGCAGTAACAACCAGCGCTATCTTGCCATGAATTTTTCTTGATTTCCACTGTTTCTTCATGTTGTGATGTCTGAATATATTGTATATTTTGTTTACTATTCCCAGCACACTAATTATACATTCATGAACATTAGAAATATTGGATTAGAAGTGTTAGAATTTTTTACTTATTACTAGGACAAAATACCATACCGTTCGTGACTTGTTTTGATTGAGTGATATACACTTCTATTATGTTTGTTTCGGTAGCTTACACAAGTTCATAAGTCCAATATTTTACTCATTTTACCGAAACAAATGTTCTGTCTAACTTGCTATTTCAGATATTTGTAGTACATCGCAATATTTCAGTTGGATCAACTGCCAACAATGTTTTTTTGGTCTGCAATATGAGTGATTTTTATCAATGCTTTCGTGCGGTATCGAAATTGCATTATGTAGCATTTTCGATCCATGTTTCTTTACTACATCTCCAATTGCACTTTTGCCTAACCTGCTATGATGATATATAGAATTACCTAGTATTATTTGTGAAACATTTGACATCTCTTAATATAATTAACAATCTGGTGGTTCCATTTTATGACAATGAAAGCGATACACATGAACTATGTATAATTTTGAAATATTTTGTTAATAATGTAGCACAACTTCTTGGTTAGTAAGTATTGAATTCCAAACCTTTATTTTTTGGAATTGTTACTTGTGTTTTTCTCTCAATGGTGTAGATTGAATATTAATTTTTTATGTTACCCGTGCATTCATTACTGAAAGATTTGAGTTATTTGAGCAATCAAGAAGCTTTTTGCTGATAATTCATTAAACTATGTAAACAATATTCAGTTATTTATAGCAATTCATATGCAAAAAAAATAGTTTATTCAAAAATAACTAGAGATGCGATGATTGCCATAATTTGATGATTTTCGAGCATTCTTTTATTAATTTTCTGGAATTGTAGACTTCCTTTTGCAATTGTTTTTGATTTTGAATAGTCTGTAATTCATAAAAAACCTAAATTTGAAATCTTGAATATGTCAAGTTCTATTAATACTGAAATACTTTTCCTCTAGCCTGCCAGATTCCTATTCATTTAGTTTCAATATTAAATATGGTACAAAATTATTATCATTATCTGATATTTATTATATGTGCATGTTATTAGCTGAGTACGTTTCTAGTCTTATGCCATTTATGTGATTTGTATACCTTTATTGTGCTTCTGTTCATATATTTTAGTTTAGTTAGACCATACTTCAACATTCATACCCAACTTTTTTATGTCAAATAAATAGCATTGATTTGGTACAAAAATTGTTTGGTCTCAAACTAACACCATATTTCATATCTTCCTGATTTCTTTTGACACATTTTATCACACTCCTATGGCTGGATGGTTTGATTCATTCAGTCAATTTAACTGACAAACATTGAAATTAATTATATATTCTCCTATAATATCTGGTATTGTAATGTCAGAGAATTAGTTTTGATTGGTTTGGGAAAGTGTCTTTTATCATCTTATCAAATTTATACATCATTTGCTACTCCCATAATCAAAATCAGACTAATATACCAATGAATGCCTCCCACCCTTTAATTTCTCCAATACAATGTAATAAATGTCCAATTTTATTGTCGAGTATTTGGTGGTTTTCTAATAAAGTACCAATAAATACCAGATCTTTTCCATCATATATTTTCCATGAAAACTGCACACTACATTTGAATAACAAATGTTTGTATCTGTAATTATACTTGATAAAGCAAAAACATTGCCAATTTCATTCTTCATCATGTTGGCGCAATTTGTGTAACTCACCTTGCTAATTTAAGTCTTAAAATTGTGTATGTCCATGAGATACACTTATTGGCTAGCTTAGAACAATCCCTCAATGGGAACTACCACTTGAATATGTAGCTATATTTCTTCCTCTTATAAAATTCTGCCTCTCCACTTGCCAATGAGATGAAGTATTTGCCAAGTATTTAACTGTGTTATATAGAGTATTTATACCTTGCCTGTGCTCCAGTGTAAAAATTTGGCTCAGATACCGTGTTTCTGTTGTCATGTGTTATATAAAGTGCTATTGTTGCAATATTTATTTTTTTTGTTATCTGCCACATCATGTTGCCTATAAATGATTACTGATTTTGCTGCTTGTGTGGTATTGCATAGCTTTTTTTTTCTATGTTTTTCCAATGTTTTGTTTTTATTTCCAGATATACATATCATTTATATTAAATGTTATTATAGTTGAAATATGCTGTAATCTATTTTGCTTTAAATTTAAATCAAGACCATGACATAGAATCATAATCAGAACTTTGGAGGTTCTTAATTAACGAGTTAAATGGTATCACTAAATTAAATAATCTGGCTTTAAATTAGCATTGTTCAGGTAAAATATTTCATGTGGATATTTTGCAATCCTATGTTGCCTAAATTGAGTTTCAAATACAGAGAAACCAAGAAAAAACCAAGGTCGTTTGAAACATATTCTAGGGAGAATATAACTTTTGTGCAAGCGTCCTAGATTACTGATGCTTTTGAGTACAATCATACACAAACAAAGTTCAAGTGTTAAATAAATTTTCATCATTTTTGTGGAGGTGATTAAGAACTTTATAGATTCTGTTTTTTGTTGTGGGTCAACCTCTACGACAAACCGGCTTGGTTGCGTCACTGTATGCTACGTGCAAGTTGTTTCAATCTATTTTAGTTCTGATCATTTTCCCATGGTACGTACCTATTGATGATATTCAACCTTATCTTGTTTTTACCACCCAAAAGGAATCTTGAGGACTGTTTACTTCATTATCAAAAATACGGTTCCTCTTGATATTGTCAAATATTGTTTTGTGATATATGTTCTCATTAGTATGTGATATTGTTTTCTTCTTTCATATTCTAAATTTCACTCCTTCACTTGTCTGGCCGGATATGTGCTGTATTTATTACCTTTCCGACCACACTAATATTGTATGGGATGTATACGTTTATAATAAATCTGTTTTAATGACTGACAATGAATGAATGGCAATGAATCCTAATTGACTTAAAAATAGAACCAAGCCAGTTATGAAACTCAGATATATTGCGCCCCGTTTTGTGTGAATTTTTTTTTCATTATGGCTATTTTTTCGAGATTTGATAATGTCGCATTTGGAGAGATGTAGATAATATGATTCTTTTGTCAGTACTACGTATCATTTGGACTTATGTAATGTTGAATATTTCCTAGATATCGATGCGCGTTTTGCAAGAATACATTCCTGCGGTTTATTTTCAGCTTTCGATTTATTTGTTTCATTCTTTGTCTACGGTTTCGTTGTATTAGCGTGTTTTGTAAATATTGCTCTAATCTGTTATGCTGATTTGGCCGCAGGGTAATGGCCTAATCTCAATCTGCCAAGCACACGCAGCGTTTCATGGAATCCGGAATCTCCGGAATCACATTAAATTTATAAAAAGTGTACAACTGTTTGGAAATTCATTTCTTACGATCTAACTTTGCATCATATCTAAAGCGTCATATGTTTTCGATTGCAAAACTCAAGTTGTCAATTATTACGTCACCTATAGAATTGAAAAGGTGGGATGCTGACGTGACTTAGTGGCAACTGCTCGGTACTCTGTTACGCAATACAACATCGGTGAAGACCTAACGAGGCAATGAATATCTCGATATGATCGCTCCACGGCAAAAAAAGATTTTCAGTTATCATCGTCAGTATAATTATCTTTTAAAACATTCTTGATCAGATTAAAGAGGTCTATTTTTAGCGATGCCAATACAATTACCGATATCACAAAGTGACCGATATTGCCGTTCCAGCGCGATTCTTGATATGTAGCCGGTATACAGTCCTTCATCAATCAAAGATCCCGCCAAGCGCGCGCTTGTTATATTCGCTTGATCCGATCCGTATCTGTTCCATTCCAAATATTCTTGGTAGTTGTTGAAAACACGACGAGCGGGTGCGCACGACTCCAAAATTCCTGCCAAATAATTGAATTTATTTTAATTCCCCAACCAACAGTTCCTTTAACCCTTTCCATGCGATTTTTATTAAATAATCGTATTTGCTACGCCGATTTTATGCATTTGTACCCCCACAACTAATCGATGGACTAACGAAAAACTAATGATCCTTTGCTGCCCACTGACGGCTCGTTGGAAAGCTTATTTAAAAAGCTTGAAATTGGCGATTAAAAATAAAAGTTTTAAAAGTGGTGGTCTGAGTCACAAACCGGATAGAAAAAAGGCATTTTTTTTCTTGGGAGTTGAAACTTCAAACCGTGATAAAAATAGAAATATTCGCTAAATCCTTTACTGTTACCGCTTCGTGGTTGGCAAACAATAGCATAATATTGCTGTAGCAATTTCGTGATCAAACTCAAAATACTTTGGTAGATGAAAGGGATAATATTTTTTCTATTACCACCCAAAAAAACACCGAAATTTGCACAAATTTCAAAATCACTCCCTCGTTCCGTCGCAAATAAAATTCCCGTCGTAAACGAAAGCGAGATTTATCGTCGCTTATGTTAATCTCGAAGAAGACTTCTTATCAATAAACTAAAACCCGGAAAAACTAGACCAACAGTTGCGACCGATTGCTAAATAAAACAGTGGAGTACATCAACGTACCCGCCGCAATCTGGCGACTTTTGTTGTTGGTAGTGGTACGTATACGTGCCCAACGCACGGAAAGGGTTTATGTGTCCACTAACTTGTTATTGTACAATCTACTAATCTGACTCTAAAATTAAAAAAAAATAATATCAGTTACGTTCTCGAGCTGGAATGGATGTTAATTTGATTTAGATATATATAATAGGAAGGAGTAAGAACCATAAGAATGTCTCTACATGTTTTATTGTATTTATTACATGTTTTGATGTGAAACAGTCGGAGTAATAATTGTAATATATCTTTCACACAAGTTGGAATTTATTGCAGGTTGTAAATGTACGATTTTATCAATTTGAGATGAATTCAAGTGATAATGGATCAATGAATCAAAATTGTACCTTAGATAGTAGGATTGTCTGGATGATAACAACTTGCTATAAACAGTTATTACGATCTCTTGCGACGGCTGTTCCATAGATTTTTGCGTTATCGGTGATAATTCATGGTAAGGGAGCATTAAAATTTCAGGTCTCAAAAGCTTCTTAGATTTTTAGTGATTGCAACATAGGGTAATTCTTTTAATAAAACGGTCCGTATTGATTGGGTGCTCAAATAGCAATAAGAAAACCATAATGTATAAATATAAAGGCGAAATATAGGCACAATAAATAGGCGAGAAAATGGGCACTTCATTTGGTGAGAATAGGGCGCTTCCTAAATTTGCCTTGTAGGCTATATAATTTATTGATTACGTAACATGTCATTCATCAGGTCATGAGTCTTGTGTTATCACACTAGTATATATTAATTTTGGTAATTTATTCTGTTTCACTGATTATAGTCAACAATCAGTAATTATAGTCAACAATTTTTTCGCACCCGCACTCTGACGGCTCTCAGACTGTTTCGGAGGTATAACTCTATTACTTCTCTGTGGTTGATCACGAGTTCGTTGTATAATAACAGTAGCCTCTTTCTGTATCGCTGTTTTAGCTCTAGCCGTAGTTGGCTGCTCGACTGGGCTCCTTGCTCTGTGGTTGCTCGTTAACAGCTTCACTTTTCCCATATGAGAAAGCTTTTCGGGATTTAATTTGGTCATCCTTACCGGTGACCCTGGGGGTGAAATACTTACGGTTGGACACACCCTTTGGACGACTGCTGGAAGGGTCATTGGGGCGGTAACGAGGATAAGTTGATGATTCTTGGCTTTCGTGGTATGGGGTATGGCGCCCAAGACCTTCAGAAGAAGTTGAACGCTCCTCAAAAATTGTTTTTTCAAATTATTCCGGCGAAACACACATTTCATATTACTCGCTTAAAATCACCTCTCTCTTTTTATCTTAAACCATTCGTTTTCACGGAGCAGGATTTTGCTCCGGCTCAATTATTGTGAAACAATTCACATGATAAAAACCATGTAAAACAAGATACAACATGTCTATCGCTAATAATCACATGCGATATCAAATATTTGAATTTATCCGTTAATTTGTTACAACATTAAAATAACACTAATAAGATTCGCAGATCCTTCGAGAGGCGTAACTTATAGGCGATTAACTAAAATCTGTCGGCGGCTATAAACTTAATAACATAGTGGTTTTCAGTCACGGTTTCGCGGCACCTCGGGGTTTCTCCAATACAGTCGAATGCAGCCGTTTCCAACCGGCGGGTTATTGTAATTTCCCATTTGTAGAGAATTGATGGGGGTCCAGTGGGGAACAAAGGAGATCGTGAAATATTATACACAGTAAACACCATAAATTAATTTATGGAAACCCTAATATATATCTGACAGCAAGCGGCAAAAGATGCCAATACCCCCATAAGAACTTCTAGTGAAACTTCGTGTAAGCGTGTTGTTACACAGATGTATAATTTTACGGAGGCGCAACACCCTGGGCTGTTAATCAAAACAGTGCATCGAAACCCATTTTCTATTACCACGAGCTTTTCCAAGCGCTGATACCTTGAACTGTAGAGCAAAAACTATGAACAGACTGGGGGTCTTGATTTCTATGCCCAATGAAACAAAGTCTTTTCCAAATTTTATTAAAGGCTTTAGTATGTGTGGAATGAACACCCTGTGATTGGGGGTGGGTGGGTAATTAAGAAAAAAAGGTTGAGAACCGCTGGTCTTTGGGTTTCTCAAGTTTGTTAATTGCACGGAGTTTCCCGAGCCTTTCATTATGAATGTTTCGTAGAGATTCCGTTCCGCCAAAAAAGTTCAGAACCACTGAGACAACGATTTCGTTTTCGCTAGAACGCCCTAGTATCACTGAATCAGAATGTGGTTGTCTGAACCAAAGTATCTTCGACCTAAACTTGAGATAGCCAACAGAATATATATAATATGATTGATTCTTGCGTTATCTCACTACTGAAAAGCAATTATTTGCAACACCAAAATCTTTTATCAATAATTTTTTTTAAATCAGTTCGGCAACTAGAATATTTATAGACTTTTAGGGAACATTTGTCTTTTTGCTACACTTTCTGTATTGTTGTTGTTTCTGATCTGATCTTATGAAGAAGACATACTCCTGGTACCGAATACATATATTGCAATTGTATATTTACAAATACAAAGAACAGTTCCAAGTCATGACTGATAAGTCACATAAAAATCAAAGTTTCACTGCAAGCCCGAGTTCGTTAATTACTTGTCCATCGTTATCCTTTTTTTTTCTCTCCCAACGAATGGTCGCTTTTATACTGGTTTTGGTATCCTTAGGGCATGACGCGTTATCGTCATCGTACCTTACAGGACGTCTAATTGTTACGTATTTTATGACTGAGAGATTGCTTCTAATTTTAAGATTAGTATGACTTTAAGTCTAAACACGTAACTTAACCAAAAGCAGCAAAATTACCCAATATCCTATACTATGCACCTACTTTAGCTGCGGAGCAGTGGCCAAGCTTGTGCGTGCAGTGAAAATATATACACAAAATGCAACAAAATTCATAAAAACATAAGAAAGTTGAAATTATGATTATGAGACAGAATGTGTGTGTGTTATACAGTGTATGGAAAGAAAAAGATTTGGCGTTGGTTTATTTTATAATTTAGGTGACAGATTACTACCAATTCTTAGCTTTAATACACTTCGTTTCACATTAATAAATTTTGAAGCGCTGAAAAAAATAAAAAAATACGCGTGTTGCGTTGATGAGCCTTTCCGGCTATAATTGTGATGAGCCTCTCTGGGCGTTTAAAAATAAAAAGAATGAGGATTTCACTTGCGTTTATGCAAATACATCCTGAAGCGCTGATTCGAAATACGATCGTATATGAAATCATATTTTGAAAAAAATGTTAAAGTCAACGTAAAGTATATTTGAAGAAAACGAATGCTAATATCTGCCAAAATCGAATAAATTAAATATTTTTGAGTAAACCTCGTTGGGTTTAATACCAATTATAGAACGCCTTAAAGATTAGAAAGAAGGAAACGTGAAATACCTGTGAAGAAGAAGGATGTCTGTCCATTTTGTAAACGAAATTGAAATATTTATAGTACAATATAAAATGCTACAATCGCGCGGTTTCTTGAAGTTGGTTCGCGGGCGTTTCTTTATGAAGTTCTTTCGTTATCCTTTCTTTTTCATTTGTTTTTTGTAGTCAAGAGTTCCGACTAGTTTTTGATTTTACGGTTTTTTTCTGGTGTAAAACAGTTCATATAGTGTGAATGTTTTACACACATATTTTTATAACAGTCCATATAATGTGAATCTCATACACCTTTTAAATCTAACAGTCTTTTTCTTTTTGTCAGAGTCTTTGGTATTTCGCTTGTAATTCCTTGATTTTTCATACTGTCTGAATCTTGGTTTGGTGGCTATTTTTCATTTTCCTTGATCTTTTTATCCTCGGCTTGCTTGTGGAGTTGATGTCTTTGGGGTCACCTTTAGTTCTAACGGTTGCTTTTGATGTCTTTGGGGACACCTTTAGTTCTAACGGTTGCTTTTCAGACTCCATCTCAGAAAGGCGCTGGTTCGTCTGTCGGGTCACCATTTTTAGGGAACATTTGTATTTTTGCTACACTTTCTGTATTGTTGTTGTTTCTGATCTGATCTTATGAAGAAGACATACTCCTGGTACCGAATACATATATTGCAATTGTATATTTACAAATACAAAGAACAGTTCCAAGTCATGACTGATAAGTCACATAAAAATCAAAGTTTCACTGCAAGCCCGAGTTCGTTAATTACTTGTCCATCGTTATCCTTTTTTTTTCTCTCCCAACGAATGGTCGCTTTTATACTGGTTTTGGTATCCTTAGGGCATGACGCGTTATCGTCATCGTACCTTACAGGACGTCTAATTGTTACGTATTTTATGACTGAGAGATTGCTTCTAATTTTAAGATTAGTATGACTTTAAGTCTAAACACGTAACTTAACCAAAAGCAGCAAAATTACCCAATATCCTATAGACTTAGGAGAACACTTCGAAGGCTGTGGCGGCCATTAGTTCAGCTTCCTGTGCGAAGATGGCAGTGAACGCCGTACACAGTGTCTCCAGTACTCTCCCATATAATGATATACAACTTTAATTTAAATTCTCAAAAATTTCATGTCCCACTTGTGCCATTTTAGCACATTTGCCCTACATTGCTGCACTCGTCCCGTTGCTATGAGTTAGGGTATTGCAGGGAAAATGAGTAAGGTCAGTATCATATAACGAGATTTCATGCTGTATTCCGGGTTAGGATAGATATAATACTTTGGCAGGAGGTTGAATTATTCATATTAAGTGAGATTAATACAATTGGTACGAGCGGGACAAGTGTGATATTAATGGGACACGAGATTTGTAAGACACCCTATTTTATGAGCAAGTTACCGAGAAGGATACAATTTTTTTGCCAATATCATTACAAAGGGTGTGAAAAACCAGGAACTATACTTTTGTCAATCAGAACCATTTTCTGCACTGCAAATTTATTCTAACACTCATCATCAAGTATTCATTACACCGACTTTAATCTCAGAATAGCAATACATTCACGCATAAGCAATATGCTCTCACATAATTAAGGTTCTGTATTATAACAACCAGTCAAGACCAATTATCATTAAAAGCGTTTGTCAAGTGAATCTCGGCGAATGTACAGGCTATACGCTATGATGGGTACATGTCAAAGTTGTATATATATAAAATATCAAAGTATAAATTTCAGCTACATGGATGGATATTGTGTTCGTCGACTGACTTCTCTTCTCGATGGAGAATACAGAAGGTAATTATCAACAAATTAAAACATTTTTCGTTTTGCTTTCAAACTTTCAGTCAATAACTATATCGACAAGGATATATTTTCGTAAATTGTCCGTCCAAAATCCTTCTTTTATATCCATAATTTAGGAAGATTTCCCAGCACTCGAAAATACGACTTCTTCTTCTGTTTCTGCCGGCGTAGCTGGAAAAGGAAATTTGCAATTGTAAAAACACCAGTAAAAATGACTTCACCTGCGTACGGATAATGTAAAATGATTATTTTATTATCCAATTATAATTCAAGTTTATCCACTTGCAATTGTGAAGAAACATAGAACGATCACGAGTGCGTCGCATTCAAAAGTGATGATGAAATAGGATCACAGTAACTCCTCCAAAAATGGAATATGTATATTACTCGAAAATGCAAGTATAGGATACACTCGAAACAGACTCAAATAAATTTGATTTCGTATTCGCTCAAACTTGCTCAAATGTATGTAGCCATATTTCGATATTTTACACATGCGAAATACAAATTCGATTATTTTTTTTATTTCTGCGTTGGGAATCATATTTGATGTACCATGGACGGATCTTGTGATGATGGCATATAAGACAGATAGATATACATCTTTACCCTCCAATTTTGAGTTACCGGTATACTCCAGGTGGATAGTTGATTTATGTACAACACATTGGCGCAATTATGCCATGGTCCGCCGAAGGTTTGACATGCGAGTCTTAGTTATAGTTGTAAAAAAAAAAATGAATAAATTTTTCAAGTTATTCATAAACAATTTATATCCCACCAGTACTACAGAAACAAAAATATGTTTGAATAAAATCAGTCGTTTTATTCCAATTACATTCAAATTTGGGCTGGACTCCAGACCCGGAAGTCCAATTTCATTTCTTAACTCACTATTCTGCATGAGCTCTTTAATAATTACTTCGATTGTATTGGTCCATTTCTGCATCAAAATCGCCACCTTTGTCTTTCGTATGTCGAAGCTTCCACCGAGCATGAAATCTGCTTCCAACTGGTTTGATTTGTTTCCAAATCCATTCCGGGGCCTCCGAGTATAGAAAAGGGTTAAGCATGCTGTTTATCGGAATCAATATAGTACCCACAGGCACATAGACTTGTTTCGAGATTTCAAAACCTGAAATTATATAGTGATTAGATTGGCAATAACAGGGATGTTCAGATATCATCTTAATACCAGAATTCGTAATAGTCCCCGTTTTTGTCGAATGGTACAGGTTTCATAAGCATACCATTTTCCACACTAGAAATTTATCAGTTACTAAGACTTGCATCAACATTGACTGGTGGGCAAACCAAATCATAATTTTATATGGTTTCAATAGCTCTTAATTTTAGAATAGTCCGTGACACAGGTGAAACAACTGCGATTACCCAAGTTAGGGATAATTTTTTTCACTTGCATTGGAAGAAAGTGAATCTCGCTTTGACGACACCCAGCGTTGTATGTATTGCACTGATATGGTCCGAGAATTAGTTTCAAAAAACAAACTTTTATATTTTATGATTGTATAAATACCTGAAACCTGTAGGAATGACATGATACATATAGGCATCCAACATACAAAATCGGTTGCTACGATTCGTGTAATTTTCTTCTGCAAAACTACACAGCGTTCTACAGTTGATGCTTTATGAACTTTAGATGATGTCGCTTTCCTGTTAAGCAGAGACAATCAACATTAAAAAGGATAATGTATATGTAAGAAACCGGTGGTTAGAAATAAATATGATTTCACATTGTATATATATATATAACATTTTAAAATTGTGTATTATCAACTTTGACCCGTTATTTAACGGTAAATTTATGGCCAATTTCGTCCCTAATCCATGTGAGCAAATACTTATAAATATATGTATAAACGGTGTATTCTTTCACCGTGCTAAAATCCAATAATAAAATAACTGCCAATTGATAATTTTAACTTTTCCAACGTAATCGCGCTCAAATTATTGAAATTAGTAAGAAATTACTGTATTTGTAGTTGAATTATACTTTGGTATTTTCGCAACGAGCAATCATATTTCCTCATAATGTTTTGTAACTTTTGGTGTTCATTTATAATAGCAGTTGGTTGTTTTGATTTCAGCTTATGTTACCTGTATATAACGATGTATGCTGCGAAGATAAAGAAGAGTGAGAAGAAGTTGATGAGTATGATTACGAGTGAGTATCCCCATGCTGCATCTTCCTCAGGAGCCGGAAAGAAGTTTGGGAGACAGACTCCATGAGATGAATAATACCCAAATCGTCTCTTCGGAATATAATCGGGGTTTAAGTCATACATTAATTTTTCCAGCAATTGCCAACTCCCGATCCCACTAAATAATAATAATTCAAGGTTTAAAAGATCACTCAATACCGAAATATGTTAAAAACAAATCGTACTTGAAATTATGAATAATTCCTACTCACCCGTTGTCGTAAACATAACTCGAACTTAAATTTCTGAATGCTACTAATTTTTCTGTGTAAAGTTGTAAATTTTCTCTCTTCACATTAGATAAAACTGAGTTTCTTTCATACCTGTATTTTAATATAAACGAAATTTCATTTTAAACAATCCTGTAACATTTGTCCGTGGAGATGTATTCATATATTATTTTATATCTGAAATAATGATTGAATGCGAAAGGCATAAGATTCTTAGATATATGAAGTTGTAACTTACCAAATACTTTCAACAAAATAATCTCTTGTGGAAGGAGCAAGTGGAATAAGTGCAAGAATCAAAGCCAGAGACCACGACGCTAATGATACTTTATAAACTGTTTTAACGTAGCCTTTCGAAAACGGTCTAAATAGAAAATATGTGGTTCCTGAGATTATGAGAAAAGTTGGTAGACTATTTTTCGCATACTCTCTGAGATATTTTTTATTATCACAAGCCCCGAATCAGAGTGAATCAACTTCTTCATATTACACCGTGTTTCTTTCTATTCCAGGTTATCAATAATATATTGTAATTAAATGAATTTATCGCTTCAATATTATAATCATTTATTATAAATATATGATGCCTTTGGTGACCTTTGTTCACATTTTCGTTGCTGGTCAATAAGCCGCGTTACATTCGTTAAAATTTCTTAGAACTTTACTATTTTGGTCAGTTTCAGATTAAACGTAAATTTGTTTTCATACCTGATGACTGCTTTCAATCTGAGTGCTGTTACAATCGTCAGTATGAACACCGATCCCTCCGATCCGATTGTTAAAATTGCACCAAGCGATGAACACGAGGATGAACTTCTCCATTCATGATCATGCAAGCAGTATCGATCACCACTACTCAGTATTATATTCTGGATACTGATAGCCAGAGTATATATCTGAATAAAGTACACGTTTGTTCATTCTAACTGAATTGAACAGTTCTTGATTACATCCTTATATCAAGTATGAAGCTTTGGCACAAAAATTTACTATTACAATTCAGTGGACTTCAGCATTTCAGTAACCATCAATTTATTCTATGTTTCAGAATCTGGCGTTTTGCTGGTTTTCCCTTAGAACCTGATTATTTTTTTAAGCTTGAGTCGACATTTTGAGCTTTCTAAACAAGAAACGAGCAGATAAAATCTTCAATTGTAACAGAGTAAATTTCGACTGTATGTTAATTCAAAATTCTCTTTTTGTCCTGCCAAAGCTAGTCAGTTCCTTATCGAATAGGAAAGTCGAATAACTCAGTGAAACGTGGGATGGATGGCATGGAATTTTTATTCCTATTGGCATTTTCTAGAGTGCATTTTTAAAATTTTCTTGTCAAAGAATCCAAACGTGATTGATTCGATGCCAACATTCCAACAGGAAATAATTAATCAAACTCAAATGATACTTCGTGCACAAGAGTTAGACAAAACGCACCAAGAAACCGTGAGTTATCATTTCAAGTTGGTTATTTTTAATAACAAAATGTAGGTTTAACGCCGTAAGAAGTTTTTGGTCCATTTCAAAAATGCACAGCGTAAAGTGGCCAATTTAGGAACGATTGATGGGTTGTGTCGTTAGTCGTTACCGCTTATAACAGTTCGAGTCAGTCGTTTTTTGACACCAGCTTACCAGCACCATCCTCTCAACCATTTGCAGGTACATTCTCTCGTTTTATCAACGATTGAAACATTGTCTAAAATAATTTTTGGATAAATATACATAACTAACCCCAACGAAGAAATCTGCCGTTGCCAAGTTCAATATCATCACATTTTGACTTTCTTCGATGTCGCTTTTGTTTTTCCGTGACGTCATTATTCTTACAATCGATGACGCTATAACCATCAGATTTCCGATAACAGCTGTAAGACCTATATTGAATATTGAAAAGTTAAAAACATTGAAACGAATACACTGTAAGTTATAAATGGCATAGTTTATTTGCGCATGTGAAATATTTGGGAAAACCAATGAGATTGAATTCTTGTATCTAAGTCTGAAAATATTTATTGGTCATTAGTATTCCAGACTCGAAACCAATTTATACGAAAATGAATTCGTATAAGGCTAAGTTGCACAAAGTGATTTAACACATTTCGGGTTAATTTTAAAATAAATTTAATTTGTAAACTGATGAATATGTTATCACTTTATTCAAAATTTGAATTCCATAGTTTGAATATCGTGTTTGCGAGTTTTGGAGCGCTGTAACAAAGGTGAATTCCTATTCTTTTACAACCATCTTGTCTTGTGAGTAGGATTTGGCTGGGCCGCCGCCAGATCAGTTTGGGACTTGCGTTTTAGTTAAAATTATCTTAATTCTGATCTAAAAATAGAATCGTTTCAAAGCACATGTACGTCATCTTTGTCTTAAACTGTAGCCAAGTAGAGTTATAAATAAATTTCAAAAGCCAAGCATGTCAAGATTGATTGATATTATTTTATTTAAACAGAGTGTCAGGAATATAAAATATCAAAGGTGCTCTGACAACTCGCCTTCACACAGTAGATATGAAGACAGAAAACTGTATCATTTAATTAGCCAAAAATTGAACCTTGTTGCTTGATTTCAGGTTGGAGCAGCAAACAATTATCTGACACCAATCAATTGATATCATTCATGATCAAATTTTAGCAATTTATGAGTCTATCATTCGGCAAATAAAACTTCATATATTTAAAAGTAAGTTCTCATCAATTAAATCGAAACCGTACTTATAATCCACAGAAACGGAAGCAGGGGTGTTGATGAAATCAATCTATCGTCATTAGAAAATATTCCTCTCGTACAATTCTGACATTCGTCTTCACCGTCCCAACAATCCTCGTTACCATCACAAACCTGTATCAAAAAGTAAAAAAAGTCATTTGATCAAAAATATCTATATTAATATTTTTACGTTTTTTTTCCATTCAGAAGTCTGATTTGCTATGAAAATATTCATAAATTGGATTAGTATACTCTATCAATATGCAAGCTTTGCTGCAACGTATAAATAAACGTAATACCAAGATCTTGGTTATTTTAATCTTATTTTGGGAGTCTTTAGCTATTTCCCGAGTGAATATACGAAGAGTAATTGCGAAATGATGAAAAGAAATGTCTTACCTTTCTATTGCAGTCTATGTACTTCGGTTCTCCTACTGGACAGTAGAAATGTTTCTGTTTACATCTATCGCAGTTCTGCAATTGGGTTCAAGTATACTTCATAAAGACTTTGAAAATGCGATTGTCATTAATAGAATAAGAGCCAATAACGAAAAGTTTGAGGTGATTTCCCATCAGCGATATTTACAATCGGATTAGGAAACGGGAGCGGACAATAATTTTGTTAATCCAGAGGGCAAGGACAGAAACAAAATCACCCATTATTGTGTTGCATACATGCGTTATATATCACACTGACATTGAAAAACAATAAAACTGAAGGTATTTGAAAAGTCAAGCTGACAAAACTCATATTGTAATTTGTGAAACTGCCATTTTATTCTCTATAACTTTATTTTTAAAAATTAATATACCTCGCATTCGATATCACAGTTTAATTCGTCACTGGAATCGTCACAATCCTGTAAATATAAAACTTATAATTGCCTCGGCAAATATACATAATTGTACGTATAAGTAATTGTTGGACAATTGAACGTTAAAACTTGTGAACGGACGGGAGTGTGCAGTTTGATATATATTTAAAGTAGTTTTGTACAAGACCTTTTGCCTCGAAAATAATACAGTACCTATAGGGGAAGGTTTAGGCCGTGGATCTTTGACATACAACACTTGGACGTAAATCATAACAAAGCATAGCATAGCGTCTTTGAACTCACTTCGAGGAATTCTAGGAATTCCAATAATTAATTTCCGTGACACAAATTCGGTTTCGTGCGAATCGGCATAATTTTTTTAAATTTTTTAGATCAATATTTTAAAATTTAATCACAAACTTCCTTTAAAAATGACGCGACTGAGCAGAAAATGTAAGACGCTGTTACGTCCATATGGGCTATCGGGTAAAATTTTGGTAAAAATTCCAAGTTGACGTAATTCCAAGTTTATACACTTTAAAATTCCGAATGACACAAAAACTAAAATCTTTTCTTTGTGATAAAATCAAATAATTTCTCCTTCACGAAAAATTCTATACATGTACGAATAAAAAACACACACAAATATATGTATATATAGAAAACTAATGAGACATTTGCTCTCTCCTAGTATTAAAATATTGGTTTCGATTCCATCAATTCATTTTTCTTATGTTTGATTTCACATAATAAAGACTATGATCACAAAAAAATCGCTTTCAAAACTGGAAATTATGAAAAATACGTCATATTCATATACAGTAGCCTATATACCTAATATTAATTAGGACCTTTAAAATATTATATGCAAAAAACAAACCTTCTTTAGGTCGCATTTCTTTGATAATGGAATATGGATCGTAGATGTGGTATCTGCTGAATCGGCACAGAAAAATCTGCAGATATTTAATATGCATTGAATTTTAAAAAAGGTTATTTTCTGAAAATGTGGTTGTAAGCAACCACTCCTACATTAATTAACTTTACTTATGTTTAAATTGCAAAATCAAATTATAAAAGTTGGGATTGCACTAAACATATATTACGCCGTGGTGATTTGTTGGCTCGATGGCCTAGAGCTCGGGTGAGCAAAGTTTTTTTTCAAGTGTCGCATACAGAAAATCTCTTTTCGTTAAAAAGGCAAATTGAGAGATGAACTGTGACATCACAGTTACTATTCCCATTCGCTATGATATTGTCGAATTCAATGGTGGCTGCAAACCGGAGATGAAAAAACAAGAACATTAATATTATTTTAACAATTCCAATTGGGTTAAACTATGCGGGCGTCGCAAGTTAGAGATCTAGGATGACCCATGTCCACTACCCCTCGCCCAGGTTGAATAAGTAGATGCTTGAGCAAAGCAGGGGTGTAAAACACCTCATGAAAGAGTAATACGTATTTGATATGGCTTTGTCAAATTGCTTTGAGAGCTCATATAAATTTGTTGACGGTTTTTAAAGGCTATTGTTGCCTACCTGTCAGTTTTTGAGCAGAACAATTCGTCCTCGCCACCTGGACAATCCCGAACAGATCCATCGCAGATTTTTGATCCCCAGAGTTTTTTATTTGAACCTAGGCAATGAAATCCACTATTCGGAGAACTTAGTCCGTTCTTTAAAGGCCTAAATAGAATACAATATGAAAATATGCACTAAAAGAAGTTTTATACATGACAACGTTTTATTTACTACATAAATAACACCATGTTCAATGTTGAAATAGCACTGAAATTAGTTTAAGTCATGACAATTCCGACATCGTTCATAACATAAATAAACTGAGATTAATGTTGAACTAGTACTAAAATTAGTTCAAGTAATGATTTAGTATACGTTATTAAACAGCTTTTTGAAACTGAAAATTTGAATATATCGTAATATCGAATCCATGTTCAGTTTCAGTCGAAGTCAAAGCCTAATATTAAGACGACTTCATATGGAATCTATTTATACGAAAGATGTTGCATATCACGATACTCGGATACTGATATCTTTGTCTATATTGAAGCGCTTAGAAACGATATGTCCAACTGGTGACAAATATCGTTCGTGTATGTACGTACTGCGTATGCATAGCCTTAGTTTTGAATACTCGGATTTTTGAAATCAGTTATAATGGTAGATAAGAGAGCGCTAGAGCAGAATACAGTGTTGAAAAAATGAGGTTACTCACGTGACAAATTTGCAATATTCCGGTATGGGATCACAGCCCTCACATTCGTCATCCAGTAATGGACACGTAGGATGATTGTCACATTTTCGTGATGTGTTCTTTGGCATTATGTTTAAATGTGGGTTGTTGTTTCCTACATTTCAAAAGAGTCTCTTGTGAATACGCATATATCATTCGATAATTCATATAGTTTTAAACACAGATAAGTGGCCATATCATGCCACTAAGTACAAATTATTGATACTGGCATTACTGAACTTATTATTTGCAGGCATGCTCAAATATAATTTTCTTTGCGAGCGCTTTAAACCATGCTTTGATTGAATAATTTAAAAATAAAAGACAATGAACTTGACCATCAAAACCTAACGAGTTCTATATAATCTTGCATGTATAATACATTGCGTAACAGCGAGTCTAAACATTTCAGTTTAATTCTAGAAAATAATCATATTTCAAATATTCGAATATACGTACTTGGATTTCTGCATGTATATGCCTTTTCATCGTTATCATTAGGCTCTGAAATATAAAAAATGTATTGAATACTTTCTACCAGTATAATGCTTCACGTGTACCATGAATGATGTGTCATATATATTCAATAACCTTCGTTCACCAATCGATTTTTCCGGTTGGTCATGGTTTACCCAATCGCCTACAGTTAAAGATATATATCAGGTAGTTTGAATTCTAGATCTTCAACCTGAAGTCAAATGGGTTAAGCTCGATGCGTTAAATAAGGCTCTTTTGGCCCCAAAAAGTAACAATTATTGTTGAAAATTTTTTCGCTCCTTTATATACTGACCTGTTGATTCAGTAGGATTACAGTAAATTTCATCGACTCCAGACAAACAATCTTTTCTGGTAAGAAGAAAATAAATAAGTCAAGCACGAATAAGCACCAATACGATAAACAAATTAGCAATAATATGAAAATTTCATGAGGTAATTTATTTATTCTTTTGTATACCATGTTTCGCGAAAACGTGGGCATGTATTTTAACAGCTTTTGTGTGTAGCCAGCACATGCTTTTGGGTTCGTGACAAATTATTTATGTTTATAAATGGACGAGGTAGAAATACACCTGTGCAGCAGATACGCAAACGATAAATTGATACGAAATGTTTAAGGTGGATTCCTAAAATTGAATTACAAATAACACGTTATCGAAGAAATATCTTAATGCCAGGATGAAGAAACTCTTAGGAAGTATAGTCAACCAACGATGTTAATGCTTAGTTAATACTCAAGCATCAAATTGAACATACAATAGGCAAAATATTTTAAACATATGGCCTTATGATATGATTCAAAATACCATTTCTTACCTTTCATCACAAACTTTCGAAATACTAAAGAAAGGACCTTTCATGTTTGCAGCACATGAAAATGCAACTTGAGGTTGACCTGGACAGAAAATTTTTTTTTTTTTTAAGTTAAGTATGTAAAGTCGTTGCACCGATAAGTTACTCACAAATACCACGGTATGTGATACGTTGAAGAATACCGGCGAAATACAGGTCACTTCGATGGAAAAATTCCAGTTATTTTTCAGCAAACACAAGGGACATGCCACTAATAATTACAGATTCAAAAACCACTAGATTTAATCGCTAGCAGAATTAGTTGCAAGACTATTGGCGACTGTAGTGTCGCCGGGAAAGCCAGCTGATATCGTTCCAACGTATCCGGGAAAGAGAAAAATAAAAAAAAAATTCCTCAGCGCAAGTTTGGCAAGATAAAACACTTGGCCGTGAATACTATTCCGTAGTTACTGCCCAAAATTTCACAAAAATAAGGATGTCCTCGCAGCATCGTATTGTTCTAATTGAAATATTATTGTTTTATGAATCCTAAAAATACTTACTCCAAATAATGTGGTCGCATATCCCTATGTTATTCCCAGTTCCACATAAACATTCATCTGATAAATCATCACAATGTATAACACCATCACAAAAATCAGTTGTTGATATAATTTTTGATCCGTCCAAACATCGAAAACATTTGTCGTCAGAAAACACTGTTGTGAGTAAAATATGACAAAATGAGATTGACTACAGTTAATTAATTTCTAAGAAGGTCAGTATAAAAGACAGGAGAAGCTCTGTGTTCTCGCCCACAGCACCACACAAAATAAGCGCAGTGGCATAGTTCTATTGTTTATCTAGATTAAAAATTCGTTTAATTCGCAAGATCTTCGATATGAAAATGTGCTAATCTTAGTTTATATCCGATACTGTTAAGCCGAGGTATTTCAGTCACATAAATCGTTGACAGAGACCTGTTTGGAGTGAAAATGTAATAAACAACATAAAATCTTGATTGATGCTTAAAAATCTTCGGAAAATTAAATCGGGGATAAAACAACATGTTTTGTATTTCTCACTTGTATCTGATCGTCTGCTGTCAACACAAAAACATTCGTCCAAACCACCTTTACAGTTGATATCCCCATTACAGAAAAATGCGCTGTTTTGCTTACAACTACATTCATCGGATCCTGGAAAGTAAATAAAATTAATTAGTTTAATATACTGTTATGACATGTATTGCATTATTATATTTGTTTATGTTCATTTGCTCATGAGAATTTGCTCATGAGAAAGAAGTATGGTAGAAATATTAATCGAAATGACGTTAAGTGTAATCACATTTAGATTAACAATTATTAAAATCTTTTCTATGTTTGTATGCAAGGATTACTCACCATCGTCACAGTGCATGAAGCCATCACATTGATAGGCGTATGGAAGTAAGCATCCATAACCCATGTGCTTTGTGCAATAAAATCCCGACGAGTTGGATTTTGAGGAATAGATTTCATCACTTTTGTCACTGTCATGCAAACATAACACATTATGGGGGTGCTACAACTAAAAATAACTTTGTATAGTAAAAAAATATAGTGAAAAATAATGATTTAATAAGACTTTCCGCCTATTTCATCATACAAATTGTCAGTTGTTGAATTGTGCAAGAATTCGAGTTGCCTAATTGTTGTGATGTAATATCAATTTTCTCTTCAACTACTGATTTTAAAAAGGTATACTATATGGAATATCCGTAGATCGATTTCGATAAGCAAGTGTTCAAAGAAGCGCTCTGAGGCTAACAGTACTAGGTTTCTATATATTTTTAGGTTGTATCTGGTGATTGAGACAAGGATTTCTGGTGCCTTGTCATTGTAAATATGTGTTCTTGATATTAAATAATGTGTACACGCTATTATTGTTCTCCGAGTACGTCAACCAATTCCCAGCCCCATCTAAATTATCTGCCCAATACCAAAATGGTACATATATAGTATGTAATATTTGATGCATTTGCATAACTTACCCGCAATCTATTTCTGCGTCACAAAAATCAGACATCGAAATACATTCTGTCTTGTCTTCGCACATGAACTCGTTCGTATTGCAGCCAGACCCTCCTGAAAATATATTTAATTGTATTTTTTTTATTAACATTGTGTGTTCTGTAAGAGCATGTATAAAATTTTCAATGTCGTATTATGAAGATCCTTTTTTGTCGACTATTTTAGATATTGCTGACTTTAACAAGGCGAAGGGATTACTCTTGCAATATAATTTATGTTCTTTTGGATATGAGTTGATATCGAATATACTGTTTTTCTACTGTTGTGATTACTACATAGACCGTAATATGTACAAAGACTTACTTGCCAAACCGATGAAATTCAATAGCAGCAGAATAATAACCGGCGAAAGAAGTTTGAGCGTTGTACCCATTGTATTAAATTACTTATGTTAAAAGTTCTGCAAATAAAAAACACGAATGAAATACTTGTTTCTAATATTATTCGCAATCACAAATGAGACTAGTAGGTGGCATATTAGCTATACTTATATGCACCGTTCTCTTGTCGGTTGCATTTCTTTTTGCAAAACGGGAAAACCCATCTCTTTTTTTCAATAGTATTTACATTAAATAAAATGAGAATTTTTGTAATTACTAAAAGAAGAGAAAAGAAAAGATAGACAGATGTAGCACGCTCGAAGGAAATTGGTAGAGCCCAAGAGCATAAATGTTTTCCAAAACCATCGATTTTAATTCTATAACTATTTAAATGTTCCTGTGCGTCACAAAGAAAGTTCACCTCAGCTTATCAACGTTTGAAATATATTATATTAATCGTATCACTAAAATAGCAATCTCTCGCAAAACAACATTTAAATTTAAATACACCATGATTTTGAAGTAAAAGCTATATACTTGTACTTATATGAAAGCAATCTTGTGATTGCGAAAAATATCTGGGTTATTACAATAAAATTACTAGAATGAAAACCATTATCGAAAATGGAAATATGTAAAAGCTTTTCCGGGCTACGTTATCTCAACAAAATGTTGTATGACCTCAGACCAGACTCTTCCTTCTTGGCGTCCTACACACTATATTAACACTAAGTTCGTGTAAGACACTGTCTACTGCGTTGAGTAGTATCAAACAAGTATGAGGCAAGCATGAATAGGTTTACTGGTACGGTCAATTCACAAACAAAACTCGATATACCGGTGCGAATAAAAATATTATTATACAACGTTCCATAAACATCTTAAAAAACTTTATGTCTAGTTCCACGTCTACAGAAACTACTGATTTCGATAATAAAATCTTGTCATTCTGAACTATTTTTTTTATCTCTATTTGGTTATCGATAATTGACAGCTTTTAAACGAAACTTGGAAGTAAAGCATTACGTCATCATTTCCTGGTTTCTAAAATATTTTTCCATATTTCGTTTTCTTCGTTTGTTGTCGATTGAGTACGTCGAAGAGCAAAAATCTCATTTTAAATCTGCTATATAATATGTAAAAGGCATATCATAATATTTTATTTGGATATAAATGTATTGTAAAATATATGCACATAACAATTGAGTATTTGTGAAACAGAAACTCGTCTTTTTGCTGTATTTTTCTACAGCTTTCTTGTTTTGCATTTAAATAACCAGATGCATTTTTGTGGTGGCTCGCGAGTGGAACGATCGTCTTTCCTAACTGATATAATACAAACCCATTCTCAGTTAGTTGGAGTTCAGAACTCGCCATAATAAATTTCACAACAGGGTAACTACCAATTATTGTTCCAACTCAAGCATAATCTATCTAAAAGAAGTGACTCCGTTTGCAGACCATTCCCTCTATTTATTATGCTATTCATCACTCTGGGCACTAATTCTGAAAGAACCAGCAAGCAATCCAAGTTGCTAAATTTAAACTATTTTGCAAACACAGCAGAAGAAATGATTGTTTATTCCTGCAATTTATGCCCGCAAGTTGACACGAAAGGTAGTATTTAAAATTTTTAAAGCAAAGTGAGATCCATAGATAATACCACGACAGGACACCGTGGCCATATTTGTTTCTAATATGAACAGATTATATATTCGTCAATTTGAACATTTCAGCTCAGCTTGGGTAAATATAGAATTAATCCAAGAAATTTGAAAGAAACTGCCAAGTGATGTTCGTCAAGAAAATCTAATTTGGGCTTTCCAATAAGACTTTCGTCTCAGACGTGATCAAAAATCAGGTCGACAAAACAAATGCGTCTTCTTATTGATTGACGTGAAATGGCGGATCTAATTTATCGATAAGTTAAGTCTTAAGTTTGTTCAGTCGATGCACGACACGAAAATTGAAAGAAATTGATGTTCACGATAAAAAGGAACGATGTTCGCTATTCATGTGTCTCATTATTGGGTATATTAATTGGTTAAGTTTAGTTGCATCCCGGTTGTGAATGAATATGGTATGGGTACAGCAATAAACAAGTAACACACATACTCGATTAAAAACGGCATAATGATGTATGATCAACCGGACAGCCATTGATGATAATCATTTAGCTGCAGTGGCAGTGTCGGTTGCAAGCGGTAAAATCAGTATTCCAAGCTTTTTACGATAGGGTTGGTAACGTGCCATACATATACTGCCAAGAATATGCATATAGCGTCAACTAAATATACATAAAGCGCCAACTGAATATCCATATACAGCCAATGTTATATACATATACAGACAATTAATATCCAAATACAGCCATTTTGGTGATGTACAATTACTGCCAAGTCATATGCATATATAGCCAAATCAATATATAAATAAAACAATCAAAATGAGATAGATTTACCTATTTATACTGGGAGGGAAGAAAGCCGATAAGACGGCTTAACCATATGGCGAACCACGGCCGCTCGTCCGGTTACCATTTCATGTCGGGTATGGGATTAGCTAGTTATTTGTTTTCGGAAGCATGGACTTGATAGTGGAGGAAGCTGTAACCGACAAGCGGTTACTTGAACCACCCTACGGCAGCATGGAGGCCATGGTAGGAAATATAAGCATAAAACTGCCAGTGCGCTAGTTCTTGAGAAATATCCAATAGGCGCCAAGTTAGTTCTTGAGAAATATCCAATAGGCGCCAACTTAGTTCTTCAGAAATATCCAATAGGCGCCAACTCGGTTCTTCAGAAATATCCAATAGGCGCCAACTTAGTTCTTCAGAAATATCCAATAGGCGCCAACTTAGTTCTTAAGAAATATCCAATAGGCGCCAACTTAGTTCTTAAGAAATATCCAATAGGCGCCAACTTAGTTCTTAAGAAATATCCAATAGGCGCCAACTTAGTTCTTCAGAAATATCCAATAGGCGCCAACTTGGTTCTTCAGAAATATCCAATAGGCGCCAACTTAGTTCTTCAGAAATACCCAATAGGCGCCAACTTGGTTTATTCAGAAATATCCAATAGGCCCCAACTTGGCTCTTCAGAAATATCCAATAGGCGCCAATCTATGATGTAACAGTGCTCCACAACAGCTGATCGTTGATAATACGAGAAATGTCATGACTGGAAATCTTATTTGAAAGAACTGTTTCTCAGCTATTGGCAATAATCTGTCCACAAAATAATCAAATTAACGTTTGGTGGAATATATGAAACATAAAACTGCCTGTGCGCGTAGTTCTTGATAAATATCCAATAGGCGCCAATCTATGATGTCATAATACCCCACAACAGATTATCTTGGATAGCGTGAGAAATGTGCTGGCTGGAAATCTTTCTCAGTGAACTATTCTTTGGCTATTGGTAATGAACTGCAAAGAAATTAATTAAATTAACGTTTGGCAGAAACTATCATTGCACACCTTGCAGTGTGTTTAAGGTAAGACGAATCGTCATTGTATTTAGTAGGTGAGACTACTACCGTTACGCGTACAGAAACTCGAAAACAACTTTTGATTGAAATATGAAAAACGACTTGTAACAAGCTTAAAGTATGAGGAATAAAATATCATGATATGAGCATCATTCAACAAAAGACATAAAACTGCCGGTGAGTAGTTTTTGAGAAATATCCAATAGGCTCTTCTTTAAGCTCTTCAGAGATATCCAATAGGCGCCAATCTATGATGTCATAGTGCCCCACAACAGCCGATCGTTGATAATACGAGAAATGTGAGGGCTGGAAATCCCATTTGAAAGAACTATTCCTCGGTTATTGGCAATAATCTGTCCACAAAATAATCAAATTAACGTTTGGTGGAATATATGAAACATAAAACTGCCTGTGCGCGTTGTTCTCGATGAATATCCAATAGGCGCCAATCTATGATGTCATAGTTCCCCACAACAGCTGATCGTTGATGATACAAGAAATGCGATGGCTAAAAATCTTATTTGAAAAAACTATTTTTCGGCTATTGGCAATAATCCGTCCACAAAATAATCAAAAAAATCATGCATCAGTGTATGACAGTCTTTTATCGAGTAAATATCCTGAAATCGTGCAGCCCAGTGGGACCAATAGTAATAGCATCACAATTGAAGTGATGGCTGTTCAACAGCAGCGAGGAAATGAATGTGGGTATTTCGCTATAGCCAACGTCCTAGCAATTTGAAAAAATATGAATCCCTGTTTACTGACGTATAGCAATAAATTTGACGAAGGGCTCGAAATGGCATTCATACAATATGATATTGACGTTTTTTGGAGTCACATTACCCTGAAATACATTCTACCAGAGTACCCAAACCATCCCTTCGGTGGACTTGCAAAGTATTTTGCCATTGTAGGATGCCTTGTGATAGATTTGAAACATTGCAGTGCAGACTGTGTGAGAAAATGTTTCATAAAAAATGTGAAACTGACGAATTCGGGAACCAGAACTGGAAATGTCGGAATTGTCGTACTTATTCAGTTGAAGATTAAAAAAGAATGGAGGAATTGAAAACTTGGCAAGATGACATATTATCTCACCATGAACACCGATGGTAGTGTAGTGTCAATCTACAATAGCATCCGTGACCTATTTTCATATACAACCTTGCCCACTGGTGACAACAAAATCAGATGTGTTTCCAATGGAACATATTGCAAATTAAGCGGCAACACATCCAAAACTTCGACGGGCGTTACGTATAAAATCGACCTGGACAAATTCATAATTTTAATTTTAAAACCGGATAAGCTTGATATTTCATTAATCTTTCACACGATTATGCATGAAATGGCCCATGTCATGGGGCCGGTAGAAATAGCCAGTCAAGCACATGCAAAAGATTTATAAAAATGTGGAAGATTCATTTTAAGGCTTTTTAAATTGAATCGAAAAATGTCACCCGAGCAGTGGCAGTGTTTTCCAATAATTGAGTCAGTTCTTAATAAGTCAGTATGATGGGATATTTAATATTTTCACATGTAATGAAAATACCTTTCTCGCAATCAAGTTACAAGTACAAGCTAACAATT